ACCACCACCATCAGTATCACCATCACCAACGTCATCTTCCCCTAACATCTCTATCACCACCACCACCAGCATCAGCACCCCCACCGTCATCACCTCCGCTCTACCACACACCACATCTCAGTACACAGCTGGCTACCAAGGAAGGCCCTGCGGAGCTGCTGAGCACAGCTGTCCCCTCCTGCTGGGACACATCGTCCTGAGGACCCCTTCGCAAGTCTTCCGTCTCTCATTGCACCCTTGGACACAGCTGGTTCCTGGGTGTCACGTTCGTTGCTCCTAGCTTGCACCCAGCTGTGCCCCCGCCCCCACTCTGGAGCTCTGGCGGGCAGGGCACTGATGCTGGCATTTTGGGGCCAGGTCAGCTGATCCCCCAGAGTCTCTGCCCTCAGGGCAGACAGGAGGATGAATGGTGCCTGCGACTTGTGGCCACAGGCACCCAGAAAACCGCCCCTCCTTCTGCCTGGCACGTGGATCTCTCATCCGACCTCAGGGAGCGGCATACTGTCAATTCTAATCATCGGCTGACACCACGCAGCCCACAAGCCGGGGCAGCCAGGCGTAGCAGAGGCACGTCCATCCGGGCACACTGGGAGTCACAGCTTGGCCCCGGCGGGTGTGTGCCTTGGCAGGGTGACCTTGGACTCACCTTCCCTATCCCAAACCTTCCCTACCCCCTGAGGCCCGGGGCAGGGCACCAGTGGCAGGGAGATGGCTGTCCACCTGCATGTGTGCAGTCACACACTCCTACTTGGTGACATGCCCTCACACGCACTGTGGCCTTGCTGGCTGGGTGCTCAGACACACGTCACACACCCATTACCGCACACACCAGTTCCTCACTGGATCACACACGAGTCCTCCTGCCTGTGTCCGTTTGCTGGCTGAAGCCCCACCTAGCGGCTTACCTCCCAGGGACCTGGGCAGGTGGACAGGGGGCCCCTAGGGTGGGAAGGTCACGTGGGGCAGAGGCCTTGGGCCGAGAAGTCCTGTGTGCCCGGCATCAGGTCATGCCTGTGTCCGTGGCCCCACGTATCACCTGCACATGATGGCAGCCGCTGCCCAGAGCTCAGAGCGGACCACAGGGAGACTGCTGTGCCTGTGGTGTGGGTGCCAGTGGGCGTGCGCAGAGAATTCATCATGCAGGGTGGTGGGTGTGGGCAGCACCCACCAGGGACCGTGGTCAGTGGGCAGGAGAGGTGCTGGCTGCGTCCACCCTCTCCCTGCATGTCTGCCCCTCCCCGTCGGTGTCATACGTGACCAGTGCAGGCAGCAGAGGCCAGGAGGGCAGCTGGGGGTGGTGGCGGAGGATGGGGAGGTGGCACTGTCTGTGATGATAGAAGGTGGGGTGGGGACAGCAGGGACGGAGGTGGGAACCACACAGGGGAGTGGTCCCCACCCCCGGCATCCATCTTGGGTTGAGAGCATGACCTTGCAGGGAGCACCCCTCACCTTGGGGATGACAGCGTGACTTCGTGGGGCATGCCCTGCCCCCGACCCCCCATCCTGGGTAGCACCGTCCCCGGCACCCACCTCCACACAGATGCATAGATGATGATCAACATGAGCAGAGTGAGGGAGGAAACGCCACAGCCCACGATGAGCGCCACGGACGGGACGGCCGCCTTCTCCATGTTCTGCAGGTCCGGCCGCCGCAGATGAGGGAGACCACAGTGAGGGAGAGATACGGTGGGCTGGGCCCCCACGCCCGGCAGCCCTGCCCTCGCCCATCCCAGGAAGGGTCTCCCCGCCTCACAGACGGGGCACCCCCAGGGAGGCCAGCAGAGCTGGTCCCTCCCGGCCCTGCCCTCTGTGGGGGCTCTGCTGTCCCCCATCACACTCCAGCTCCAGGGCACCTGCCCAGCACCTCAGACCCACACCCCTCCAACCTCGAGGGCTCCCACCCACTGCTCGCACTGCCACCAGCACAGCACCCCGTCCCGAGCCTGCCAATTCCGTCCCCGCCCCTGCTCCAGCAGGTGCTATTAACTGCACAGCCCTCCCCCTACCCCACACCTCCCTCCCCTGGTCAAAGGCAGCCCTGCGCCCCCTCCCTCAGCCGACCCCCCTCACAAAGCTGCCCCTGCCCCGTCCCACCTTGGGGCCTCTGCACTGCTATTCCCAAACCTAGAGCCCCTCCCTGCCTCCCGGCTGCTGCCTTTGGGCCACCAGGGCCTGACCCGGAGCGCTCGAGTCCTGGCTGACGGGGGACACTTAGCAGCGACACGGTCATGCCTTGTGTCCCTGGCCCCACTGTGTCACCTGCACATGACGGCAGGCCACTGCCCAGAGCTCAGAGCGGACCACAGGGAGACAGATCTGAGCCCTCTCTCCAGCCAGCAGCTCTGGGAGGGGGAGGAAGTGTGATGCAGAGGGGCCTGGAGGGCACACTGGAACAGGAGCAACTTCTTAGGGGCTCCGACCCTGAGCTCATCTGGCACCCCCAGAACAGCCCTGCAGACCCCCGCCACCCCTGGCTCTCTGGTGGGACCGCTCACCCCCTCAGTGCCTCTAGCCCCCCAGCACTGAGTTCCCCTTGGCACTGCTGCCCCCACCGACGAGGCCCAGGCTCTCCCTCCCCGCCCCAACCCCGCCATACCATTGGCAACATGTACTCACACTGCACTGTGCTCCTATCCACACACATGCTGTTTCTGCCACCACCTCCTCCAGGAAGCCCTCCCTGACTTCCAGTCCAGGTCCCACTGCTAGGGGTGACCGCCTGGCCCTACAGCTGATGCTCTCTGTTCCGGCGGCCCTGTCAGGCCAGCGCAGGCAAACAGTCAATGGGACTGACTGAACTGTATGTGGGACACCAGGTTCCAGTTCAAACAGGCGCCTGGAGCGGGGAGTTCTCAATCCCAGGACTAGCTCCACTCTAAATCCCTAGGGTGATCTTAGGCCCCAGTTCCCCAGATGTAAAATGGGGTCCCACAGGCGGCCCTACTGCCTCCTGCCAGGCAGGAGCACCCAGGGCCAGCTGTCTGCTCAACATCTTGGCCTCCTGTGCACATGACAGCTCCTTGCCCGCCAGCCCACAGCACCCCTGGGCTCCGGCCTCCTCAGGGGTCTGACCACCTGCTGACGGCCACGCCTCTGCTCCCGGGTCACAGTGACAACTGAGCGTTGCTGGCAGGGGCCCCTAATGTGCGAGGGCCTTGCTCAGCCTGCCCACCATCTCCCTCAAGCATCCCACACACCTAGGCTCTGCTCCCTCCAAGGGCTCCTCCACCCTCTGCCTCAGCTGCCTAACCCCGAACCCAGGTCCTGGACCTATACTCCACCCTCCTGCCCAGGGCCCGGCTTGCTCCTTGCACCTTCCAGTCTCAGTGCCTCTGCTCAGGCACGATCCTGTGGATATCAGCTGCTCAGCTTCTCTCATCTGTGAAAGCCCTGCAGCTCGCCACCGTGCTCAGCTCTAAAGCCGCCTCCTCCAGGCAGGACCCTTGGATTAGCGCAAGCCACTGAGGCTTTGTAGGAGAGGGCAGCTTTGCCCACAGAGGCCACAACAACTGCCCATGCCACACTTTGTGATCCCTGGCAACACGTGCTAAGTAGGGGAGCACCACTACCACGTCCTTGAAGGGCACTCAGCTCCGGGCAGCCCCTCAGCAGGTGAGGGCAGGTGAGGGCTGGCAGGGTCTAGAGCGCTGGGCCCCAGAGCTGTTGTGCTGCAGTTTTACCAGTGGAGAAACTGAGGCCCAGAGCTGGTGGAGGTCAGGGTGACCCCAGCAACTGTCTCCAGGGCACTGGGCCCAGCTCACAGCCAGCCATGTGCCCGGGTCACGGGCGGCTGGGTAAGTGGCTCACACTGCTTCTGCCCTGACCTCTGTGCCATCTGCCTCCATCTGCCCTCATTAGTCCTGGCAGCCCCGACTGCCGGCTCCCGCCCCCCACTCCCTCCTCCCCGCCTGGCTCAGCTCGCAGTCTGCTGTCCCAGCCGCAGATTCTGGGCAGCAGGGGGGCAGGGGGCAGGGGCTGCTGGAGACCTGCAGGGCAAGGGTGACAGCAGCCAGCACCAGGCCTGCTCGCCTGCCCACCTCAGGCTGCCCCAGGGCCTTTGCACAGGCTGGCCCCTCTCTCGATGCCTGTGCCCAACCTTCACATGGGGGCTCTCCCCTCAGCCTAGACTCCTCGACCCCCCAGACTGAGCCGGCCCCTCACCTCTCCACCCCGGACCCTCTCCTGACCCTCTGCAGGGTGCTCCTCCCCGCCCCCACGGCCATTCCTGCGTATTGCATCCATGGCTCCCATCCGTTTCCACCACATGAGCGTCCTCCTGTCTTCTGAACCCTCATGCACCCCAAAGCCTGATTTCTTTCCTAAAGGGCTAGCTTTGCCCTACCCTTGTCCTATCACCATCCTGCTCCCAAATGCCTACAAGACTGATGCCAGTCATAGACTAAGCCCTGACCCTGGTCACATTCTGAACCCTGACCCAGGTCACACTCCGAGCCCTGACCCCGGTCACATGCTGAGCCCTGACCCCAGTCACACACTAAGCCCTGACCCTGGTCACATTCTGAACCGACCCAGGTCACACTCCGAGCCCTGACCCCGGTCACACGCTGAGCCCTGACCCCAGTCACACACTAAGCCCTGACCCTGGTCACATTCTGAACCCTGACCCAGGTCACACTCCGAGCCCTGACCCTGGTCACACGCTGAGCCCTGATCCAGGTCACAGGCTAAGCCCAGACCCCAGTCACACACTGAGCCCTGACCCCGGTCACACACTGAGCCCTGATCCAGGTCACAGGCTGAGCCCTGATCCCAGTCACACACTGAGCCTTGACCCTGGTCACACGCTGAGCCCAGACAGACCCCAGTCACACACTGAGCCCTGATCCAGGTCATACACCGAGCCTTGACCCCAGTCACAGGCTAAGCCCTGACCCTGGTCAAACACTGAGCCCTAATCCTGGTTATACACTGCTCTCTGACCTCGGTCACACTCTGAGCCCTGACCCTGGTCACACCCTGAGCCCTGGCCCTGGTCCCACACTGAGCCCTGGCCCTGGTCACATGCTGAGCCTGGATCCATCACTGAGTCCTGACTCCATCAGCTAGGAAGATTTTCACACAGGAACAGTGATGACTGCCCTCTGCAGGCTACTGAGTACAAGTTGGCTGGTGGGTTGAGTGATTTTAGTATGCCACCACCAGTTCAGTCCCCAGCACGGCTCCAAGACCAGTGACTAAGAGGGTCACTCAACCTACCTGCGCTCAGGGGCCTGGCACCCCACCTGCCCGCTACTGTGGCCTGGCCCTGAGGGGACACGGGGTCTCATCTCCCTCACTCCTGCCCCCCAACTGTCTCATCTCCCCCACTCCTGCCCCTGCCCTAGGTTTCCCCGTCCACAGCCTCATGCTGACTCCCACCTCTGGCCCCCATTCCTGCCCCCGCCCCAGGTCTCCCGTCCAGAGCTTCATGCTGACTCCCACCTCTGGCCCCCACTCCTGCCCTCGCCCCAGGTCTCCCGTCCACAGCCTCATGCTGACTCCCACCTCTGGCCCCCATTCCTGCCCCCGCCCCAGGTCTCCCGTCCAGAGCCTCATGCTGACTCCCACCTCTGGCCCCCACTCCTGCCCTCGCCCCAGGTCTCCCATCCACAGCCTCATGCTGACTCCCACTCCTGCCCCCGCCCCAGGTCTCCCATCCACAGCCTCATGCTGACTCCCACCTCTGGCCCTGTGTGGACTCCACATCCTTGAGGCCCGTGCCATATCCCCGGGGTGCCCTGCAGCTGCTTCCCATAGAGTCCGCTGCCACCTGCACCACACCCCAGGCCCCGGGGGCTGAGGCAGGCAGCACCCAGGCCTCCTCCAGCTGGGTGCTGCTCTCTCCTGCCCCTCCCTGCTGCCAGCTGTGCTGCTCTGCCTCCACACCTGCTGATCCTCCCAGAACCCCATCTCCACTCACCCCTGGCCACCCTCACTCCAGTCCCCTCCACGGCCCCCACTGCCCTCGGGGCGAACCTCAAACTCTGACTGTGGCCCGACCTCTTCCTGCCCCCCCTCTTGCCCTGGCCCTCTACAGCCCCCTGGCCCTTCCCACCTCCCTAGTAGCTTTTCTCAACTCTCCTGAGGATAAGCATCACTCTTCCCCACAGAGCCTGGGTGGGGAACTCCTACACAACCCTCAAAGCCCTGCTCCAGAACTCCTCCCTGAGAACGTCTCTGCAAATCACCCCGGGGGGGAGAAGGACCCCTGGTGTGCCCCCAGAACCCCCCCAAGCCTCTCCTTCCAGCCTGGCTGCCCCCCGCCTGTCTGACAACCTATCTGCCATGCCCCCACATTCACAGACGTAAGCCAGCGGGTGGCTCCCCATGCCTTTCCATCCGTGCCCGAGCCGTATCTTGGGTCACTGGGCTGCAGCTCACAGGGCTGGGACAGGAAGGAAGTAGGGGAGGGCCCTGAGAGTGGGTGCTCGTGGTGGGAGGGGCCAGAGGACCCCGCTCCTTTCCTGATTCCTCTCTGAGCGACCCCCACCCCCCTTGAGGGGGCCACGGGGGCAAGCAGAGCCGCCCCTTAAAACCCAAAACTCTATCTACTGCCATCTGAGTCGATTCCAACTCCCAGTGACTCCCACTGGGTTTCCCAGCTGGTAAATCTTTACGGAAGTAGACTGCCCCATCTTCCTTCTGCAGAGCAGCTGGTGGGTTTGAACCGCCAACCTCCTGGTTAGCAGGCACATGCCTTGGGCACTATGCCACCAGAGCTCCTCGCCCCCTCTTAGGGGAAAGCCAAGGCTCAGACACCCATCACCTGGCCTCTGCCCCACCACTACAGGGTGACCCTGTGGCTGCTGCAGCCCCCATCCTCCCCCACCTTGTCCTACCTTTGGGAACGCTGACATGGGGGTTAGTCTGGCGTGGGGCACCCCGATTCTCCTGCCAAGCCGCGGCTCCTTTACAGACTCAGTCTGGACTCTGCCTCTCCCAGGTGGAGATGCCTCAGTTTCCCCACCCTAAGAGGCACCTGTCAAAGGTCTGCTCTTTCTGGAGGGACCCCCTCAGCATCCAAGCCCCTCAGTTCTGAGAGTGCCGAGCACAGCACCCCAACCACTCAAGGGCCCCTCCCGGGGCTTAGGCAGGCGAGACGCGGCCAGGACCCTCCCTCCCCGTGAGACTACAGGTTACAATGTTCTCCAAGAGGCCCAGAGGGGCCTTCACACCGGCCCGGGGGGTCCAGAGCAGCGCTCACCGGCCCCTGAGACGAGACCAGACCATGCGTGTCTGGGGTAGTGCAGCTGGGACTCTGGCAGCCATGACCCCCGTCTGCCCTCCCCACCCGCTGACCCTGTGGACTCCACATCCATCTGGGCTGAGGGGTTCAGGGAGTGAAGACCACGGCCCCTTCCCTCCTTGGTGGGCCGATGAGGACCTGCCCAGTGACCAGGCCTTCCTGGGGCCAGTGGGAGTAGCTTGCTCCTGGGCAAGGGGGCCCAAAGCCCCAGTGGGTGGAGCCCAGCACCCAGGGCCCCAGGCAGTGCGCTGGCCCTTGATGCCGTCGCCATAGAAACTGGCAGCCCCCACAAGAATCACGGGAACTGAAAGGAGGCCCCAGAGATGATGAGGGCCTTTCTGGGGAGGTCGGTGGACTGGGGCCAGCTCCTCAGCCTATCACCCCAGGCTCCTACCTGGGGACCCGGTCCCCTCCCCAGACCAGGATCCACTTGGCAGTGGGAGACGGCCCGCCCCTCTACCCCATCCCTGGTGGGACGGGACATAGTGGCTGCTGGCTGAGGGGTCACCAACCAGGTGACAGGATGGTGGCCCGGCATGCCGTCCTCCGGATCTCAGAACCTCACGGCCCAGCCTGGCTCCCTGAGGACCAGCTCTCTCCAAGGGCCCAGGTCGCAGGCCTTTGGGAGAGTGCAGTCAGCCAAGGGAGCCCAGACCCACACGACAGTCACTCCGCGGGGTCCCTGGCCTGCGCCCCAACTCCACGTTGCCCCGCCAGCTCCCACCCACTCTCTCCAGAGGCGCGGGGCTCTGGCCCCTGCCGCTGGCCACAGGCAGCCGCTGGGCGCACGGGACCCCGCGCAGCGCCGAGGGTCCTCCCCGCCGCCCCCGCTCGACCTTGCGCCCTCCCGCCGGTGGCTCACCGCGTCGGCGCTGAGCTGCGCTAAGATGGCGAAGGTGGAGAGCCGGTCACAGAGGCAGCGCGTCCGGAGGGCGTCGAGGGGCACCGTGCGGCAGCCGCGCCACGACCAGGGCCCTATCTGCGGGGGAGCGGAGGGGGAGGGGCTGGCAGGGGCGGGGCGGAGAGACAGGGCG